TAGCGCAATGGAGATGAACCTCCTGGAGATGGACTTCTTGTTTGGGCTGAGCTTCCAGTTAAACGTGACGCCCACGACATTCTACACCTACTCCCCTTTTAAGTTTTATCCAAAGACAAAAAGTTGGCTTGTATTTCCTCCTCTATCCCGCCTACAACCCTCAACGCCCAATAATTCGGCGCCACCAAATCTCCATCGCAGCGTCAGTGCAGACGATTCTGCTCGTCTCCTTTTAAAGTCCCATGTTACAGTAATGTTGAACACTGAAATGATTTGAAACAATAATAATGTCGCTCGCCATACAACACCAGATTATGTTCCACACTTATTCAGAAAGGAGGATCAGTTGATGATATTGTCAGGCTAGCGTCTTGTAAACTGCGTGGAACGAACCTGACATGAAATCATCCCCAAAGATGCTAGGATGCGTGGAGTGCATGAGAAATCCTAGGATGCGTGGAGTGTATGAGAAATCCTAGGAGGATGCGTGGAGTTGATGGCTACGTCACTAGGCTCCGTCACTGTCGTGGAGTGTATAGAAATCCTACGGTGAAAAATTGCGGCTCCGTCGCTGTTGGTGTGGTTTGCATGGCTACGTCACTGTTGGTGTGCCCACACTCCTTTGGAAATCCTAGGAAATGTGGAGTGTATCCGAAACCGTGGAAATGGAAATATGGAGTGTATCGAAAGCCCTATGAAAAAAAAACTGGCTCCGTCGCTGTTGGTGTGCCCACACACCTAGAAATGCGTATATAAGGAGTATATCAGTGAAGTCGTCACCAGTTAGTGTTGTTAGGGAGCTGCAGCTGCCTCCTCTCAACAGCACTGAAAACTTGTCGGAAATCTCAAATGGCTCTGGAACATGATGCCTCCTTCAAATTTGTCCCTAGAGCCGCTGCCTCTGCTTCTTCTTCTTCTTCTTCTTCCCCTACAGAATATTCTGGTAAATCAAACCAGCCTTACGGTCCATTATCCCATCAGAGCAAATTGTATTCAAATATCAATATTGTTCTTAATTAACCAACTCCGTACATGTTCATTCATTTTCTTACGGTCCATTATTCACTAAAATAAGGTTTTCCAATTGGCAATTGTTTTGAGATGTAATAAAAATTGTTCCAATAATTTTTTTCAATATTTTTTCTTTTTTTATCTTTTAAGAATAAAAGTTCTTTTTATGTGAAATGGCGAGAAAGTGAAGATCATTTTCATTTTCTATAAGTCAGTATGTCAAGGGAGGTTGGTGTAATTCCTAAAGTTGGAGAAAGCTAGGTAAAATTGTTAGAAACCAGTTTATCATGTTACAATGCTTCCCATTTGCTAGAGTGAGAGAGAAAAGAACCTGCTAAATTTGCTTGCTTACTGATAAAGATGGAGCAACCACAAACCATCATCTTAGTTGGAGTTAAAGTTTATACAAGTTTTACAGAATCAAAAAGGGTTGCCAAAAGTATCCCTTTTTCTTATTTACCGCAGCTGTTACTACTACCTATCAGTGCAGTGGTTTCTTATGATGATACAATTTAGGTTTACCTTCAAAACCCAAAATGGCCATTCTATGAGATCAGTTCATCCGTGTTAGGACCACTTTCATCTATGTAGGCGTAAAGTTAGTAAATTCAGTTCTCTTAATTGATTCTTTTTTTGAAGCAACGACAATCCCATGTCATTGCTTCCCCCTTTCATAATTCTTTTCTAGATCTCTAAAGATTACTCAAATTTCCCTATTCAAGAAAATCCTAGTAAAGGAAATGGTTTCATTAGCTGTCTTTGAATATGCTATTGTAGAAGCAATCTTTTTTATTTTTAATCAAAAGGAAGGAATATTTATCATTGTTTATCAGTGTTCTAAGGGAAAATTCAACAAGATTTACTCCTATATATGTTTTTGAGTTCTCTCGGGGAACAGAATAGCTATTGCTGTACCAGAGAGAAAAGTAACTATTGTCATCCTCTTTCTCTTCCTAATGCTATCTATATCTTGACATGCTTCCTGCTAATTATTGACCATTCTGCACAGAGCAACTCTTGGGAGGAGTCAAACCCAAGCAGAAAAAGCAGAGAATAACAGGCATAGATCAGGATGAATTACAAGATCCAAAACTTTTGGCTGATCCTGAGGGTTGCTTTTGTAAGTTTAAAGGGGTACAGATACACTACAAAATATATGATGCTGAATCATTGGCTCCAAACTCGTCAAAAGAGGTTACGACTCCTCAAGATTCTGATACCACCAAAAGTTTAGGTTTTCCCATGATTCTGTTGCATGGTTTTATGGCTTCTACATTCTCATGGCATCGAGTCATGAAGCCTTTGGCGCAGGTCACTGGTTCAAAAGTTCTTGCCTTTGATAGACCGGCCTTTGGGTTGACATCATGGGTCGATCCAACCAATCATTCACCTACTGGCAGTGGAGATGCCAGACCTCTAAATCCATACTCGATTATGTTCTCTGTACTGGCATCCCGGTACTTTATTGATGTCTTAGCAGCTGAAAAAGTAATTCTGGTGGGGTAAAGTGATATATTTAACCTTCTGTTCTTTTGATTATTTCTCATATTGTGCCCATTTTCTGGTTTCTGAATATTTCATCATCAAGTTTTACTGGTAAGGGTTTCTATACTGTTTCCGCTCTCGCACATTCTGTGGAGTAAACCACTGGAAATTAGCGCAAACTCCTCAAATGTTGACCTGAATCGTAACAAGGAGAAAAATAGTCAATGCCAATGCTCTAAACTAGATGTATTCTGCTTCGGAAGGCATACTGTCAATTGAGAGTTAAATTTAATTTTTTCAGAGAAGAATATTTTCATTTTTCACACCTATGATCAATATTTTGGTACTTTCCCTCTCATTCTGTCAATCGCCCCTTTTCTGATGGCGAAAATCTCTGTTTATGCTTACTAAGAGCTAACGGATGCCAGGCACTCAGCTGGTTCCCTTGTAGCGGTTGATACATATTTTGAGGCACCTGAGCGAGTTGCTGCAATGGTTCTTGTTGCTCCACCAATTTTAGCACCTCTTTTGAAACAGGATTTTTCCAAAGATAATCAGAGAGGTAAAAACAACAAGAAACAAGAGGAGCACTCAAATTCAGACAGTCACCGGAATCCAATTCTCAGGATTCTCAGCATGTTGTCAAAGTTAACTAAACATATTGCTCAGGCAATTATGAATATATTGAAAGGGATGGGAGATATGATAAATTATGTGTACAAGAAGGCTTTGTCTGCACTCCTCCGCTCTGCCATTGGTGTAATGCTGGTATTAATTTCTTTTCAGGATAAATTTTCATTATTCTCTTGGCTTAAATTTATTTTCATGGTTTCCAATACTTAAGGCCCTTTGGTAACTAAATTATAATATCCTTTATCTTTCAACTTTTGGTTTGAGAATTTTACAGATTATGTTGATAAGTTTATTTCATAGTGGATTTTGAAACACTCACTATTTATTGATGGAGAAAGATAACGACCATCTGAGACACCAAATGCTGCTTCTTAACTCAATGGGTGGAGCATTTTACTATACAGTATAGCCATTATTTACAATTTTTGGGATGACCGAGGAATTTCATTAGATGAGGGAAATTTTTGTTAGCCTGCGTCTTGTTTGTTTTAATGCACAGATCTGACGTTTATTTCTTTGTTGCATGCGGCTATCTCGCTCGTGCTTTTAGGTAAGAATGATAGTTGCCAGATTTGGCAAGGCTCTTTTTCGACATGCGTGGTATGATTCAAATCAACTTACTGATCATGTCTTACAAGGTTATACAAAGGTGATTCTTGAAAAGCTTTCTTTTCCAGATTCCCCTAATTCTGGATGCATTATTCTAAGTTGCTTTCCAAATCATACAGAATTTCTCCATTTATGTATATTTTTGTAACTACCCACTTTACCATTGCAGTCACAGAAGGTGAAAGGCTGGGACAAGGCCCTTGCGGAATTTACAGCAGCAATGCTTGCAGATTCTTCTTCTCAATCAAAGCCACAGCTTTCCAAAAGATTGAGCGAAATCTCATGTCCAGGTTACAAAATTTACCTAAATATTGTCGCCAATCAAAAACAATTCCATGAAAGATAAAATCCTTTCCTACCATTGATCAACTTAGAAGACTTAACAGAAAATATAATCAAGAAAATGTTTGGTGGATCCTAAATGTTGGATTTAATGCCAATCGATTGACTAAATACTGAAATCTGATTATCTATTTTTTGTGCTTATGTTAGAGTCTTAGTCATCATTGGCCCTCCGAATGCTCATACATTTTCATCTTGAGCCTATATTTTGTCCTAAAGGTTTATTGCCTCCATGTTTTGGGTCCTGTTGGTGTAGCATTCATCTCTACTATTGGATGACCATATCTTTTTCATAATTTCTTGAATTGGACATTAAATGTCTGAAAAAAAAAAAAGAAGTCAAATTTATCATCCAGTATAACCGAAAGCCTGGATATGCTGACATTGCAAATGTAAATTACAGTCCTAATTGTCACTGGTGATAGTGATCGACTTGCTCCCTCTTGGAACTCTAGAAGGCTTTCACAATTCATTCCAGGATCTCGTCTTGAGGTGATCAAGAATTGCGGCCACTTGCCTCCTGAAGAAACGGCTGAAGAGTTTGTATCGGTTGTTGAGAAATTTCTACAGAGAACTTTTGGTGCTTCGCAGGAGCAGCGTTTGCAAGTAGTGACTTAACCCTGGATCTTCTTAAACCAATTGACAAATGTGGAGAGGATTGAACCCTCAAAATAAATGTGGAGAGATAATTAAACTCCAGAAAGAATTTCTGCCCATTGATTGTCAAAGTAAAAAAGATGGATAAACATCATTTAATATTTCTTTTTGTCCGTTTTGTATCTCTTCATAGTATCCGCCAATAAGTAGCATTTTTTTTAAATTAGCATATGTTGATTGCGACGCACTGGTGTCAGAAGCTTGAACATGCATGATGCATTGCCAATATTCAAACTTCCTTCTTGATTTAGAGGGCTAGCAGTGATCACAAATATCCCATGTTTGTTACGGGGTGCAGGTGCAGTAATTGTTGAACACTGAAATGATTTAAAACAACAATAATGTCCCTCGCCATACAACAGCAGATTATGTTCTACACTTTTCAGAAAGGAGGATCAGTTGATATTGTCAGGCTAGCATCTTGTAAACTGCGTGGAAAATCCAAACCTGACATAAAATCATCCCCAAAAATCACGGCTCCAGCAGCTAGTCCCACCCCAACACCAGGTCCCCTACTGCGTCCGCACGTTTACGTAACTAGGCTGCAAATCATCTGTCCTCGGTAGAAAGGTAGGTATATAGCCGACATTTGAGGGTGGAGGTGGTGGGGGTGGAGCTCTTGGTGGTTGATAGCTTGTTCCACCGGCTGGTGCATAGCTTGGACCAGTTGGTATATTGGAATAATTCCGCGGAAATGGAAGTGGATGGGCATACTGGCTGCTTGTCTGTGGCTGACTTCCTGGCTGCAGCGGTGAGGGTGCAGGAAATTGTGAATGCATAGGTCCGTGCCCAAAATCCAAGTTAATTCCCATGCTGTTATCCATGAGCTTAAATCCTTCCTCATCACCTGAGAAACCAAAATTTCACAAATTTCACGAGGACATACATCGAAAGTCGTTGATTCTAAGAATCCTACCGTCGGAACCCTTAAATTGTGTGGAAAGCATTATTACTGTTCAATAATAGACATAGCCCATGCGCAAGAAGGAAAATTGCAAAATGCAGGAATCCGAACAAAGAGACTGTGAGGTTGGCTCTTATGAGAAAAAAAAAAAAAGAAAGTCATGATGAGGGTGTCCGTATTTGTACCTCGGTATGAGCTAGACTCTTCCCTTTGTTCTGATATTCGGATTGAGATATCGACAAATCCTCGAGGTTTGTTTGTATTCTTCTTTCTCAGCTGAAAACTTCCTACTTCTTCCACCGGTTTTGGAACCTCAGAATTCTTCAAGTACTTCTCCAGAAATTCCTTAAGAATCACCATTGTCGTTCCCAAGAGCCTTTCTCTAAGAAAGATGGGTTCTCTGCTATAGACCTCGACATGGAGGGCCATATCTTGGAAGTTAGGTTCAGAAGGATCAACCACTGTTGAGAATTTGGTTTTCCAAACCGGATTAGCATTTCCCGAAGCATCTATCCTGGTGCAGTATTTGTTGTTAGTATCAATCCACCCAACGGCAAACCACTGGAGCTTCCACAGTGAAGATGTTAGCCGGAGCCCCCTAGCAGAAATCAGGCAGGCCTCAACCCATAGTTTTCCCATCACAGCCAAGATTCAATCGTGAAACGAAGACAGAACGGCAAGAGCAGCTGTTTTCTGAAAAGTTCTTCCCTTGTCAAGTTGATAAGGAAAAGAGAAAGTTAACAACTTTGTACCATTCCAGACTAATGTTACCCACAGGCCAAGAGAATTCCTTATCCATCACGACTTTCTAAATCTCCGTCACCTTTTTGTCGAGCAAATGACTCGTAAATCCATACCAAGAGGAGAGGAATCAGAACAAAAGTCGAAAGTTTGTACAGCATAAAGTGGCAGAAAAATAGATGGATGGCCCACTCATGCGGCAATTTATCCAACAAAAAAAAAGCATGTTAACTGAACAACTTAAAAGCCTATTAGAATAGTATATGAAATTGTTTGGCTATGCAACACATCCCTTTCAGCTGGTCTAAAGAAGGGAAACACTTTAACCCAGTGCTCACACGGAGCACAAAGTCCTACTCCATTAACTTACTGCCTGAAAAGTGCTGTGCGGTAAATCAGTAAATGGAATAGAGTGCCTATGGAACCCTTCAACTTTGAGGCCAGTCAATAGAAGTTCTACGTAGATTGCAATCCAATTATCTGAAGAACAGAGCATTCTGCATCTGCACGGTCATGGAAAGAGAGATTACAAACTCTACTATTGTCTTGATGGGGGGCTTAAAATTAGCTTTCTGCCAGCATATATAGCAATCTGATGTGCATCAGGACAGCTAGATGTCCCAGTATACATCATTGTAGTGGAACCAAGAATATCTTCTCCAAATCCACATGCTTTAAAGAATAGCCTGTGGATGAATACAAGGGCCATGTTAGCTTCAAAAGACATCCTTTTCGGAAAAATTGCAGGAAATAAGATCATTACCTACATTGATAAAAGCTTTGAGAAGTCTATGAGACATTGATGAATCGGATTGGTGGTTGCAAAACAACAGTTGCTACTTAATTTATAGAAAGGCATAAGAGTAAACAATAAAGCAATCAATCATTACTGAAACTTAAAACTTTACCCCTCTTTGTCAGAGCAAAGGGCGGATATATCGTACACCCCTTTGCCAGTAAGCATTCTGCAAGAAAAATTGGAGTGCTTAGACATCTTTCAGAGCTTGACTACCAAAGGTTTTGAACAACTAGCACATTATGTAGCAAATGTTTTTCCCATTGTGCTTAGCTCTACAGTCAGCAACCCGAAACATTCCCCCCGCAAATGGTAAATGAATAGAGAAAAACCTGCAGGTAATACTAGGTAGAATGGTTCCTCGATGCTACACCACAATTACAACATGCCAAAAATGAATAACGGTAGCAAATTAAACTAATCCGTGAGTACACTTGGCTGATTAACTCAATATTACCAATCGGTAAAAGCTGAACAGTTCCTCGCGTATACTTGTTAATTGAACTTTCGTCTCCTTCAAAACAATATAAGCAAAAGATTTTCCTTAATGATTCCCAAATTCCAAGCAATGCCTAGAACCCTAGAATCTTAAAAATATCTAGACCCATTACAACCTTATAATTCTTTGTACCATCCTCCGCCCAATTCCCCTACCCTGGAGTGAAGGGATCACCTGAAATGCACTGAAAACAACTACATTAGTGAGTGGGCGGGGGTCGGAGGCGGATACAAAAAAAAATTACTAAAAATTTAACTTTTTCAGAAGGAAAAGTGTTCCGACCATGACATCATAGATGGAAGCAGTTAGCCCTAAATCAGAAACAGCGCGTCCAAACCCCACAAGCTTCCCGTTATCTGGAGTCACCGGCATCACTCGCTGAATCCAATTCCCACCAATGCCCATCGATCTTGTCCCGACTTCAGCAGTGGACGATAAATCATTAGCTAATTCGGGTTTCGTGAAGACTGAGACGACAACGGAGCTATTGGACAGAGCAGTTCGGAGTTTGCCGACGTCTATAAGCTCTACGAGGCCGTACGAGTCGAGGTTAGGGAAGCGGTGGCAGGAGTGGTTGCAGAGAGCGTAGAGGTGCTGGAGATGGCTTGGGTTTACGTGGGATGGGTTTGTGGAGATGTACAATGGCGGCGGGGATGAAATCTGGTTGGTTATTTTTGGCGGGGAATGGAGGAAATTGGCGGGAATACAACTGCCGTAAGCGGAGGTTGCAACGGCGGCCATATCCGTTTAATCACGTTATTATCTACCAAAAAAAATGAAAAACTAAATTTTGGTCTTTGCTTATTGTGTTGCTGCTTTTCTATTCACGCAATCACGGATCCAGGACAAAGGATTGGAGTGGTGTTTGCTTGTAGGCAAATATTCCTGTGGCGTGCTGTGCATTTCATCAACCTATATAAGTTATACAAAATAGAGTGAAATTTATATGAATATTTAGAGCCCACTTGAAATTGCAATTTTTGAGCGTTTTTGTGACAAGAAAAAAGATACTGAAACAGTTTTTGATATGTAATGTGTACGATCATAAAAAAATATTTGGAAATTGTTTTAAGAGGAAATTTTTTTAAAATAAACCAACAAATAAATATATCTAGTTTTGAATGGGTCTAAGTGGATATTCAATTGAATCCATTTAATTGGTGGATTACGGATTGACTCGGCTCACCTATTTATATCAATTTAAAAATAATTATATATTTAAACTCAATTTTTAGTGAGTGTTAAGTAAATAAATTTAAATTTTTTACCAATCTAATAACAATAAAATACCGTTATTTCTTGTTAAAAAATATATGAAAACATAAAAAAAATAAGCAAAATTTTAAATGGCTCATAAATGAGTAATTGAGTATACTCATATCCATTTATTAAATATATTAATCCAATTATACTCATTATCTAATTATAATCCATCCAAAACCGATTGAATCACCCGTTTTGACAGCTCTAATAGTGACGAATGCGAAATTGCATGCGAATGTATGTATGTCAAGGCAAGTGGCGGCAACCAAAAAAAAAAAAAGGCAAGTGGCGGCGGCTCCTTTGATATGTACTTAGCTGAAGGAAGTTTTACTTTGATGATTTTTTTTTTTTAATTTTTTTGTGGTTATCCAACTAGAGGTGTCAAATGGGTCGGGTTTGGACCCAGACCCAACTCGGATCAAATAAATTTTTTCGGATTTGAGTTGAAAAATAATTTCGATACCCGAGTTCGAACTCGTTTACTCTAAAAAAAAGGATTGGATACGAAAAATAGGATTCCGACTCGCATCCGATCTAGATCCGAACAATATATTAATAATTATAAAATATAAATATTTCTAAATGAATTATTTTGCCACATTAACAATTTAGTAATGATTTTGTAGATGATTTGTGGTTAGTTTTAGTTGACTATTGCAAGTTATTTGTAATTTAACTTTGTAATTTGATTTGTTTAAGTTTGGAGATTGGATTTAATTTTGTAATGTTTAACTTTGGACCTTTTCTTTCCGTGTATAGATCTGGACCTGACCTCAGACCCATCAGATATACGGGTTTGAGTTCGAAATTTTCAATTCCAATCCAAACCCGGGCCAGTTGACAACCTAGATCCAACTCTAGGAAATAATTTCTCAAATATGCTTTTATGTGGTTGACAGTCGACACCAGCAGCTAGCTATCAACGGATTGCAAATGATCTTCAAAACTATGGGCTGCCTAGCTAACTCCCAGAAGATATTACTACCATAAGTAGGCATGCGGTTGAAGCAAATCCAATGGCGAAAACGGTGAGCGCACGAGCTAAGCGTCCATATTTTTACCAAATGTGTGTGTGTATATATATATGTGTGTGTACACACACATCAACAAACAGAGACGATTTTCGTCGTCATCATCGTCTTGCTCCTACGATGCGTCTTACCTTTGAGTAAATAATTTGACATCTCATGCTGTGCATATCATGATCCCTATTCTTAGTTTTCCTTTATGCACTATAGAATAGTGCATCAATTGTCATCCTAATTGCAACATCGGGGAGGGTATGGTGACTCTTAGAGTTTGGGAAGTTTGTTTTCGATTTAAACAACTTCAAATCTTGATTGAAAATGGCTAAAATTTGCTGGTGGAATCAGCAGTGTTTCCTGCACATTATTAGTTTGTTGTTTACAAGCTCAAGAAGTGCACCACACGAACACGAACAGAACAGAAGTAGGACATAAATATCATTGTGATGGTCATTTCCACGCAAAATATCATTGCTTAAATTTGTTCTAGACGATTGACTGACCTCTTTTCTTCTTTTAGAAGACAAGTCCTGATTCAAGCTTTAACCATACTCTGATTGGAGTATGATTATGGACAACCAAATTTTGTCATCACGACCTAAGGTGTGTTAGCAAATTTTATAATGCGGCGGACGACATTTTTCTAAAACTAAGCTAGTAATTTACGTACGGATTAATTTTCTAAAACGGTAAAACCTTACCCCCCCCCCCCCACCCCACATCCGCAATAACTTGTGCAAATCTTATTATAAGTACAGTTAAATATCAAGTTTTTTTTTTCTTCATGAAACAAAATCCAGAATCCAGATAGAAAAGAGTTAAAAGAGTGTAACCCGGCTGGTCAATGAACCAGCTCATGCACACCCCAACCTCCGCGTGGAGGTACATGCCAAATTCCCCCACATTTATAGATGATAGAAGATAGATCCAGCATATACATATATATATACATCACCAGCATTACCAAATAAGTTTTACAATCAGCAAAAAGAAAAGGGAAAAGAGTTAGTTTTAACCGGCCAACCGGTCGCTAAGATTTAAGCCTCTTTACTAGCTAGGTAGTGGAAGCCTGCAACATCAATGGCGGAACTTGAGAATCCAGGGGTGATGCCTAAAGTCATAGGTCTGGTCTCCGGCGTTCTTGAGAGAGTGGCGGAGGCAAATGATGTGAATGCAAGATTTGGTCCTCAGAGAATTTCAGCGTTTCACGGCCTAACTAGACCAACCATTTCAATTGAAAGCTACCTGGAGAGGATCTTCAAGTATGCCAATTGCAGCCCTTCGTGCTTGATCGTAGCTTACATTTATCTCGATCGCTTTTCGCAGAAGCAGCCGCTCCTGCCCATCACCTCCTTGAGCGTGCATCGCTTGCTTATTACCAGCGTATTGGTCTCCGCCAAGTTCATGGATGACATGTAAGCTCCCTCTTCTTCAATAATTCCTCTTTTACATACTCAAAATTCTCTTCCCGACATTCAAATATTCAATCGATCTTAATATTTTCTTCCCTGTCGGGGTAATTTGGTCCTTTTGGTTCACTAGCATCACGCCACCCAACCTTCCTCCCTCGTTGATGAATGAGTCCTTGTGAATTCATGGTTGCCTAATAATCACGAGCGTGTTTGACACTTTTTGCGTTTATAATGCAATTTTTTTTTTTTTTTTAAAAAAAGTTTCAGAATTTCTTCGCACTCACTCTTTATTTAAGTCTTTTGCTTTTTTGTATTTACCAAAATTGTTTTTGGTTTGTGTCCGAAAGAAGAAAAATGATACTGTAGACGAAATAATGAATGCATGCTTGCTTAAATATAATAATTAAGTATGAGACTTTGAACCGATGTAATTTTACTTGGACCTGTAATCATTATTATTGTTTAGCGAACTTAACTAGGATGCTCAGACTAAATAATGGGTAATGGAGTCCCGCTGGCGAATTGCGGCCAAATTTGTCTCGATTACCCATAATATTGCGAAAGAAAATGCTGATGACAAAGCACCGATTTCCACCGTAGGCAAACGGGAGCCACCTCAGATTTGGACGTCCTCCTCAATTCCAAACATTTCCGGTGATTTCTATAAAATCACAATTAAAACGCTTTCAATATTGGACCACCGCCATCCCCTTTTTTTTCAAATTTGTCTCTAGTAACAATTCATTACCATCCTTTATTTTGGGACTGGACGTTAATATAGCCAGCTCATCAGGTGAGACTCGGGAACCCCTCCAATGTCGCTGTCGGACAAGGGGCACAAATGATTGCAGGTGCAACCGTTTCTGTCGGTTGTGTGTATTTTTCATTGTGCGTAACTTTGATTGCACATGGTGTAACTTTCTTTGCACACGACGTAACTTTAGAACAAATTTTTGTAAGTCTCACACATGGCGTGAAAATCGAATTACAAGATGTGATTTGAGCCGCATAAAATTTTTTGCCCAAATCATGGCCGTCAACTACCAGGAACGGTTGTCAGGTTGTCAGATACCATGACAACCGTTCCTGCCCCATTTCCGTCACTGTCCTTTATGCTAATTTTTTCTTTTTAATCTTTCGCCCATCTCCACACCCCTTTCGCATCCCCGCACTTAACAAAGTTCCGGTTGGAGCATTGCTGTGAACCTTAAATTAACAATTCAAAAATTTGCTCTAAGTAACACTTTACAGCTCGGGCTAATAAAAAAAAGACCAAAAAATACACTAACTAGTACTACTGCTAATTAACTCACCGTATTCTTGCTGTCCTGAAACTCTTTTTTTTTTTTTTTTTTGGTTGCAGATTTTACAACAATGCTTTCTATGCAAAAGTGGGAGGAATTAGCGCAATGGAGATGAACCTCCTGGAGATGGACTTCTTGTTTGGGCTGGGCTTCCAGTTAAACGTGACGCCCACCACATTCTACACCTACTCCTCTTTTATCCAAAGACAGAGTTGGCTTGCCTGTCCTCCTCTATCACGACTACAACCTTCAACGCCCAACAGTTCGACGCCGCCAAGTCTCCATCGTTGCGTCAGTTCTGCTCACCGACAACAACAGTTAACCGTTTGATCAATAATTCGAGAGACAAAATATTTTGGATCTACCCACCACCGGACGACCAGAAATCGAATTTCCAAGGCACCAGAGATGAAAATTCTCGAATCTCTACTGTTTTCTTTTCTACTGGAAAGACTCTCGTCATTTTGGTTCTAGGTTGTGAATTAATCATGTCTGATACTCTGCAGTTTTTGTGCTGTCTTATTGGCTCTCGGGGATTTATAATTTTGTTTTCTCAATGTACATACACTCACTTCAATCAGCTGCTCCTTTTACCGAAAATAGATTTGATTTCATTGGCATGCGTAAATATATAAGAGATAAAGAAGAATGGAACAGACCAAGTTAATCAGTCGGAGTACAAGTTACAGCAGTAGTATTTTTCTGAATTTGCAGTGTAGGATCATGAGCGAAAAAATTCAAACATAAAAATGAAGGGTCCTAATGTTTTTCATGGGATGCAGTAGAAAGATCATTTGCATTCTGTAGAGAAGTTGGCGTCAAACTCAGCTGGAAAAACTGTATCTCAATCTGATGCAATGTGCAATTAACCCGAGTCAAAGATAGCATATCATGCATGGCTAGCTGCTAAGTGAGATTGTGCTAGTAGAATTTCAATTTCGGAATCAGCCATAAAGTAGTCAACCTTCAAATTGACCATACCCCCCAGCCGATCATTAATCTTTGACGTGTAAGGTGTTATTGGCTAGCCTAATGTTATTGTCTAGGGCTAGTAGTGCAATTTGTGCCTACATTTAGATATTCTTGGTAATAAATAAGGTAAAATTGTAAAAGGCTTTTGATCCCAACTGTTTGGAGTTTTAGGAGTTTTTAGTACCTAAAGTATGGAGGAAAACAAATATAATCCTAAATGTTTCGATTTTTATGCACATTTAATCATAATGACTGATTTTTACCAATTACTACCTGAATCTAGTAATGCGCCAACAACTAATTTTTTTTAAAAAAAATTAAAAATTCAATAAAAAAAATTGGTAGCTATAGTTTATAATAGAACAAACTAATTACTCATATGTTGGTAACGTGAATAATTAGTCTTTAACCTAAATTTTTTTTTTGCCAACTAAAGTCTTGTATTTCTGGACTAAAGTCTAATTGCTCACGTAATTGGCATGCAAGTAATTAGTCGTCTTTTACTACAAATTATGTTCAATAATATTTATTTAATTTTTTTTAAAATTTGGTTGCAGGTACGTAAGTGTGTTTGGATTGTCATAATCTGGTCAAAAATTATTTGCTTGTATTACAAATACAATTTCTAACGCACCTTCTTATCTGTTCAATCATCTTTTTAACTCACATAATCACATCACAAAAACTGTTATAGTAATTATTTCAAATAATCTCCAATCCAAACACTCTTCACAATCGGGTTCCAATAGTAATTGATAAAAATTAGTCAAGGCAATTAAATATACTTAGAGATGGGAACATTTGTAACTACATTTACTTTTTTCCAAACTTTAAAGATTAGGAGCATTGGTGCCCCTAAATACGCAACGGATCTTCTGTCCCACACCCTGTGCCACTCTATCTCCCATTTTTTATTATATTGCTATTTCTCCTATATAAACATCACATTTTAGTTCTTTTTTGTTTGCTTAAGATCCAATAACTATTAATTGAGTAATACACAATATTTAACAAACTCAAAAAACCAAAATGCATAAAAATGAGATTTTTTATGAATTTTCTGCTGTATTTTTTAATTTTCTATTATATATTACTTTTTTGAAGCTACTGTATTTATATTTTACTCAATTAATAGTTATTGGATCTTAAGTAAACAAAAAAAGAACTAAAATGTGATGTTTATATAGGAGAAATAGCAATATAATAAAAAATGAGACATAGAGTGGCACAGGGTGTGTGGGATAGAAGATCGGTTGTGCCCTAAATATTAGGGAATAAAACTGCATCTCTCTCTCTTTGTTTTTACCAAGGGACTTGGAAGGCTGACACAAAATAGGGCTCTGGGTGTCCAAAGAAGTACACTAATACACAATTTTAAAACACATACCACATCCACCGTAGGTGTCAACATAACACAGGAACAGAGAGGGAAGAATTCAGACAAATATGTAGATAATCTTTAACACCGATAGTTCACACTATTAAGACAGTCACTTGAGCACAAAGGATGCAGACAGACCGTTGCACGTGAATACAGTTCTCACACCGTAGATGCATTACACACACACACAATTGAACCATTATGGTCCTGGAGAAATTTGTAGACGCAGACCCCAGAACGATTTCTTTACGCATGGGTGTTTTTTTGCCTAGAAGTAGATGGCGATCGAACCTCAGAAGCCCCTGAGCTGTCGCTACCTGTTGCATGGCCACCGGCACCACCTCCAGCGCCATAACCATATCCACCTCCACCTCCAACGGCACCGCCTCCACCGAAACCATAGCCGTATCCAGATCCTGAACCGCTGCCTGAACCCCAACCAAAGCCGGAACCCCTGCCAAACCCATTGGGCGAACGCCCTGAACCAGAGCCATAACCCCATCCAGCTCCAGGGCTGGAACCCCATCCCCAGTTGTAGTCCCAGTTTGAGCCATGACCCGAGCCTGTTGCTCCTGATGGACTCTCCGTTGAGCTTGGACCGCCACTGCTGCTAGGACTACTAGCGACGACTTCGGCAGGGTGTGGCTTCTCGTCTCCTGCTTTACCACCTGTACTGAACGCCCAAGAGTGGCATGAGATGGAGAAGAGAAGAACCAGAGCAAATTGGAAAACGATCGATTTCATTTTTTTGGTCTGTGACAAGTAAAATCGGGTTTCTTTCTTGCTACAAAGTGTGGAAAGATAGCTGACTTTTTATCTAATTTTGGGTGGCATGCAGTTGATTGCGGCCTTTTATAGTGCATTAGGAGGACTAGAGTGGGGTATCTGTGTTGGATTCTTGGTGTTGACAACTGACATCAACCTTCTAACACTCCCGTGAATGCTAGAGCCAGCCAGTGGGGTATTTGTGTTGGGATTTTTGGTGTAGGGACTGTAGACAGTTGACATGAACCTTCAATCGCTCCCGTGATCGTGGTGATGCTAGAGCCTAGAGCCAGCCCCTGGGCCACTTGTCGACGTCCGATACTCTTCTGCTAGAAAGTTTGAATTCTCTGCACCTCACTTTGTTTCGCCCGAGTCTGCCAACTTAACTATAAAGAGTCATGCATTTTTAGATTTTAAAACAGAAATTTCACCGTATAATCATATCTCTATTTTCAAATTGCATTGCAGCAGGCCAACAGTAAAGTAACTGTGAATTCTTCTTCTGCGTCTAGTATCTCTTCAAAAGAATAAAAATTTCATCCAGTCTCTTTTGCATATGAGCAGCCTCGTTTTAGTGTAAAACCAAACCGTAAGAATGCAAATTTATTTGTTCTCATCCCCATTTAGCAGTCAGTCTATCCTCAGCGCAGACTACAACTCCCCGTCACTCATTCAGAACCCGAAGAAGAATAGATGGGCGCACCTTAGAGGGGCATCTTGGTCATTTACTGTTCGAAGACGCACATTAATTTTTCACACAAGGGTATGAGGTGCTCAATAAATAAATCGAGGAGGAAAACATGGGAGGAAACTTTCGAACTGTAATGGGCTGATGGGGCCTGCAACTTTTAACCGTCCAGCTCTATAACACCGTGTACACGTGGCACCGCAAGAAAAACACGAGGAACAGCAGAACTAATTATGCACATCACTTTCTATCGCACTATGATAAAAGTCGGCTGAATTAAGAAGTTATATATTGAAAATGGATTGGTAGCTGCTTGGATTTTGACAGAACCTTGATTGGCACAGACAGATAACAGCACATTTGTATATGCTGAATGCTGACACGCAAACCCAAAATAATCCCACTATATTGATATGTTTGCGTTCGTTTTCATCCATTTCCTGGATCCCATTACAAGAGCTTTTGCATTACAGGATCATTTTAACAGTTTAGATGTACCTATTTTTTTCCAATTAAGATAAAAGCCTGTTTCTGTTTCTGAAATCTAAACAATCACATATTGTGTTTGGACATAAGATTATTTGGAAAAATTCTTTTTAAAAACTTTTCCAACAAGGATAAGGCGCTACCATTTCTGAAGTCTGAACAAGATGTGAAACGCTTAAAAGAATTGAGTTCTTAAGTGCAGGCAGGCTCGGAAGAATTGTGGCTCATTTTCCAGTTTCCACCCTCCACCAGGGACAGAGAGTATGCTTGGAGCAAAAAGAACCCGGAGGAGGGAGGGAGGGAGGGAGGGAAGGACGACAGATTTGCGTTTGTCGTACGTAGAAGGATCATCAATTCGCTGCCATCAAGAATTTCCTTAAAGGCATTGGTCCTCTTTAGGGAAACAACAAAGGGTTCAGAAATTTCATCATACAGGGTATAAGATTTATCGTTAAGATAAGACAATTAACATCACTTGTTTAGCAATCTTCCAAGAATTTTTGAAGAATTATTGTAACACTTTTTTAGAGTGTAATGCATGCAAAGTAGAAAGTAACTAAAAAAGTGTAAAAAAATAAAAATAAAAATAAAAATAAAAATTCGCGGACAGCTAAACTGAGACTGCAATTTGCAGTCCACAATTCATATCATTGTCCGCAAGTTACCGCTGAGCCCAGTACTGAGAGGTCAAGAATACGCCAACAATTTCTTGGTTATCACTTACGCCTATCTTTGACCTCCTGCCTTTTCGCAAGTCAAAATTCTCACAATCACTTGTTCGAAGCTTTTGGAGCAAAAAATGAAGATGATAATAAATTGATAGTATTTTAAAGGCTACAATCCTGCCATGAAGGTCACTAGGCCAGAAAACATTCCCAAATATAATCTCAAACTTGAATTATTCCGATCATCATCAGAAAAATGGTTTTCTCATCCACAACCAACAAAGGGTTGTGTCCAATGGTGTCCTAAGATTTACTTGTATATCGTCCTTTGATGATCTTCCCACAATATACTGAACATACAAAATGTAAAAGAGCAAAACCTGCCGACACTAGCAATAGCCAGGATCATCACAAACAATGAAAAGGATATCAAATGTAAAAGATTTTTGGCAAATCAAGAAAGCTTAAGAGAAAAAAATGTATTCCTACGCAGATTGAAATGATTTTTTTTGAAAAAAAGCAAAAACAAGAACAAAAGATACAAAATGAACTCGATCGATAAATGTGATTCAGAAGCATAAAGTTGAGTACATCACTCGAAATACTGATTTCTCAGTCCAAGTGTTGGAATGTTAAATTACTGCTTCATCCTCATCTCATCAAAATATTAACATCACAATATGAAGTACACAAAATAAATAGGAGGAAATATTTTTTACAAGGACTCTTCTGGAAATTTTTTTTAAAAGAACAAAAATTTGGGGAGAAAAAGGATTACTCAGTGATGGCAATGTTTAGTGATTGGTTCGATTCTGCCAGCAGTGTCCTCAACTTTTAATCAGAAGAGGGAGCTTTGCTATCCTCATCGCATCCTTTCATTTCCCAAACTAAATTCAGAAAAAGAATAGAACATAAAAAAGTCATCACTAGAGTTGTTAAAAAAAAACGTAGAGATCGCTCGGTTCAGCGGGGTTATCGACACGCGAGAATCTCCATAGAAATATAAAGAAACCCGCTTTCCGGTCTGTTGAGCTTGAAAATTTGTGAGTCGTCACAGCGATCTAATCTTTGTACTGTTGACATCATGCAATCGAAAAATTACTCTTATATTGCTGATATCATTGAATCGAAAACTCGTAGTAGATAGAAAAAAAACTGAAATCAAAACCAAAACACCAATATAACCAGAGAAAAACCGTAATTTGGAGGCAGTGGTGATGAAACCGAAAGCTCTAATTCACAAAAACAGTAATTTGGAGGCAGGAATGATGAAACTGAAAGCCCTAATCGGCAGTTTTAAGCTAGTGAAAGGAAACCAAAGAGAGTCGCAGCAGCGTAGAAACAGTGTGTGTGCTACGCTCTGGCTGCATATTTATAGGAAGATTTGGCTAGGGTTTTGCTACAATCAGGGGAGCTTATTTCCACATTCCCCCTTCAACTTATTGACAATTGTGGATTTCCTAATGTTTGCAGTTTGGGTTAATTTCAATTGACTCCCACGTAATTTTGGTAAACGTCTAATAGGCCCTTTGAGTTGTTAAAAGTTATCTTCAACCGTTTAATTCCGTTATTCGGGCAAATTAAACTGGCCCATCTGTTAATCACTTCTGTTTCTTTATGATGTACCATAATTCAATTATTTTAAAAAGAAGAATTACATCCCAGTACGCTTTTACTATGAGTATAGCTTACATCTTATATAGTTATTGTGTTTAAAAGAGAGCATATGATGTTAGGAAGAAAGAATCCATTAAAGTAAATATAAAATTCAAAACTCTATTAAAGAAATTAATGAGTGTGTTTGGATAAAAATTATTTACAATTCAATCAACTTTTTTATTTTTTTTTAACTTTTTTATATCTCGCATACATCGAATCATAAAAGGTAATTTTGCAAATGATGTTATTTCGAATAATCTCCTCTCTAATATCAAACCAAAAATGGGGTGGATCTCAACCCAATGGGCCTAGTAGAACTTTCATAAGAAGCCCAAGATCAGAACCATAGTCAAACAAGCCTAGAAGTCCATAGATACTCAACTCCATTTTTTGTTCTTTACGTTAACGATAATATTTTTATAATTTAATCTATTTTAATCTACATAGAGGAGAATCTAAAGAAACTGTGTATAAGAGACTAGTAGGTATAAGAACCTGATTAAATTAAAGGGATATTCTGACGTCTCCTTTGAATTTTTTTTACTGTAGGTGAAATTCTAACCACTGACCTACAACTCAAGGAAGGATTTAATCCTTTTTTGTGACCTCTGAACCAAAGTTTAGTGATTTATAGACAAACTCCTGGTGAGCAAGAAATGAAGGTGTGATGAAGAAAATCAAAAGAAAAAAGAGAGAGAGAGAGAGAGATGCAATGCAATGAAGGGAGGAGTACGTACAACATACCATGTACAGGGACGAAAGGGCAGCAGCGGAATGGTCTCCTCACTGACCTTTTCTATTGCAATTATGAAAAGCTCGTTATATAAGTTCCTTACTTCTTATTTTTTCACCTCTGAAATTGTTCTTGCTTTGCTTACTCCGGTATGTATAGTAGAAGCAAGCAAGCAAGCACCCAATCAATTCATGGAGGAAGGTGGATGCTGGATCTTCCATCGCCTGTTTTTCACACGACAAAGAATTATGCCGTCGGATAGAGTTGAAGGAAGCAATCACATTAAGTGCATTTTGGACAATTTGGGAGGAGCCACGCCACCTTGGAAGTTGGAACCCTACCTCCACTCAATAATCGATTGCACCATTTTCCTATTTTTAGAGCAAAAACATTTTTCTGTTTTTAATTTCCCCAATATGTCTCAGACATAAAACAAATAATGTGAAACATCTACTACTCGTATGTTGCATACTAATAATTAAAACTTGAATAGCTACCCAATGCCCTGATGCCACGTTGCAATCCCACATAAATTTTCCCACCAAAAGTTTTCCCTTCACCTCCATTTCCACTTCTCACAAATTATAATCGCACTCTGTCTCGTCTCTATCTAGTATCTAAACCCCCACCATTTGTTTTTCCCCTCTGTTGTTCTACTGCGTGGGTGTAGCGTGTGTTTCTCAAACAAGGAGGAGGCAGGCGGAAGAGAGGGGCGGCAATCAATCAGCTTGGGAGAGAGAGAGAGAGAGAGAGATGCTTTGTACGGGTCGCATATTGGCGGCATCGAATTCGAGGACGCCGTGCCTTCCTTACTCTGTTACTACTACTACGCCGTTTATGCTCTCCGGAAGATATTCTTCGGGAAAGCTAAAACCGAATCTTAAATGGCGGTGCACGGCCTCCGACTCCGATGCCTCTTCATTCGCGCCTTCTATCGATTCTGAATCCTCAGCATCTGATACAAACGCCGCCGGGTAGGTTTTGCTTACGCAGTATCTATTAATTTCATGGTGTCAAAGATCTTATTCATCATTTTCCACCTATTTTGGATATAGGTTTTGTATCATTGAAGGTCCGGAGACAGTTCAGGACTTTGCCAAAATGGAGCTGCAGGAAATTCAGGATAATATTCGAAGTCGCCGGAATAAAATCTTTCTGCAAATGGAAGAGGTCGGTTAAATTTTGCTCAACTTATTCTATACCTTCTGCTTAATAAATTCTGGCAAGTGCGAGTAGTTCGTTTAGCGTAATTATTTCTGCTGTATTTAGGGCTTATCGAGGACAATAAATGCTCTTGGGGTTAATAATTCGTATGCTTCACTTGTTTAGCCTCAATTCCAGGTCTTAATACGAATTGGTTTGTTTTCTACGTTAACAGATTCTAGTGGATCTTTCCACCTTCATTTTCCCCTTCTATGATATCATTACGTTTCATGCTTGGCGCTGTTGTCAAAATATTGTAGGTTCGCCGCCTGAGGATACAGCAGAGAATAAAAAGTGCTGAGCTTGGAATTCTAAAGGAAGAACAAGAAACTGAACTTCCTAATTTTCCATCGTTCATTCCATTTTTGCCTCCTCTGGTTAGATTTCTTCTGTCACATGCTAGTGTTCTTCTTGTAATAAGCAATTCAAGATTCACCAGGTTGCTAAATGGACCAATGGAATTGTAATTTTGTTTTTTCTTGTCCA